ACGTCAAATAACTCTCGGCCCTCAGTCCCCAGCAGCTGCGAAGCAACTGACCACGGCGGCGGTCAGATCTGCAACGCAGCAGAGGGTGCTAAGAATCTCTTGATCTGGACACGCCGCCATTGGAACCTGAACTTGGCAACGTTTAATACTAGAACCTTATCTAGTGAGGGAAGTCTAGCTGTACCATTCGAGGAGCTAGAGGGTGTTAAATGGGATATAATAGGGCTCAGTGAGGTTAGGAGGACAGATGAAGCTTATACAGTGCTACAGAATGGGCACGTCCTTTGCTAAAGGCACTTGGCTGACAGATGATAACTGGGAGTGGGGTTTTTAATTCACAGAAACATAGCTCGCAACATAGAGGAATACCATAGCATTAATAAAAGGGTGGTAGGTATCGTAATTAAACTGAATAAAATATACAAGATGAAGGTGGTACAGGCTTACGCACCTACATCCAGCCATGATGACGCTTCAGTTTAAAGCTTATATGAAGACGTGGAATCGGCAATGAGTAAGGTAAAAACACTGTATACTATACTGATGGGAGACATTAATGCAAAGGTAGGAAAGAAGCAGGCTGGAGACCAGGCAGTAAGAGACTATGGCATCGGTACTAGAAACGCCAGAGGAGAGCTACTAGTAGAATTCGCAGAACGCAATAATTTACGGATTTTGAATATCTTCTACTGAAAACGAGGAAACCGCAAGTGGACATGGAGGAGCCCTAATGGCAAAATTAAGAACGAAATAGACTTTATAATGAGTGCACACCCAGGCATCGTGCAGGATGTGGAAGTGGTTAAAAAGGTGCGATGCAGTGACCATAGAATGGTACGGTCTCAAATTTGCCTAGACTTGAAGAAGGAACGACAGAAACTGATACGCAAGAAGCCAATCAATGAACTAGCACTGAGAGGGAAAGTACAGGAATTCAGAGTCTCGCTTCAGAACAGGTACTCGGCTCTTAATGAGGAAACCAACCTTAGCGTAGGTACAATGAATGATAATCTGACGAGTATCATTACGGAGTGTGCAGTGGAAGTTGGAGGCAGGGTAGTTAGACAGGACGCTGGCAAGCTTTCCCAGGAAACGAAGAATCTCATTAAGAAGAGTCAAATCATAAAAATCTCAAGTACAACAGACAAAGTAGAACTGGCAGACCTTTCAAAGTTGATTAATAGGCGTAAGGTATGCGATGCTAGAAGTTATAACATGGAGAGAATTAGGCATGCTGTAAAAAACTGAGGAAGCATCAAAGCAGTGAAGAGGAAACTTGGGATAGACGAAAATCGGATGTATGCACTAAGGGACAAAGCAGGCAAAATAACTACCAATATGGATAGTTAAAATAGTGGAGGAATTTTACAGAGATCTGTACAGTAGCCGGGATGGATAGATATGTGGGGTTTAACGTCCCAAAACCACCATATGATTATGAGAGACGCCGTAGTGGAGGGCTCCGGAAATTTCGACCACCTGGGGTTCTTTAACGTGCACCCAAATCTGAGCTACAGTAGTCGGGATAACTACAACTTTAATACTATAAGAATTAGCAGTGACCCAGATGACACCCCACCAGTAATGATAGAAGAAGTCAGAAAAGCTTTGGAGAGCATGCAAAGAGGCAAAGCTGCTGGTGAGGATCAGGTAACATCAGTTCTGCTGAAAGATGGAAGACAAATTGTGTTAGAAAAACAAGCCTCCCTGTTTACGAGATGTCTCCTGACGGGAAGAGTACGAGAGTCTTGGAAGAGCGCTAACATCATCTTAATACATAAGAAAGGAGATGACCAGGACTTGAAGAATTACAGGCCGGTCAGCTTGCTCTCTGTCATATACAAGCTATTTACAAAGGTAATTACTAACATAGTAAAGAAAACATTAGAATTCAATCAACCAAAGGAACAAGCAGGATTTCGAACAGGCTACTCAACAATCGACCACATTCATACTATCAATCATGTAATAGAGAAATGCTCAGAATATAACCAATTACTATACATAGCCTTCTTAGATTACGTGAAGGCATTTGATTCAGTAGAAATATCAGCCGTCATGCAGACACTGCGGAATCAGGGTGTCGATGAAGTATATATAAACATCCTGGAAGAAATCTATAGGGGATCAACTGCTACCATAGTGCTTCATAAAGAAAGTAACAGAATACCAATCAAGAAGGGTGTAAGGCAGGGGGACACAATCTCCCGAATGCTATTTACCGCGTGCTTACAGGAGGTTTTCAGAAGCCTAGAATGGAAACAGTTAGGGATAAGAGTTAATGGAGAGTACCTTAATAACTTGCGCTTTGCCGATCACATTGCATTGCTGAGTAACTCAGGGGACGAATTGCAACTCATGATTATAGAGTTAATTAATAAAATTAATCTGCAGAAAACAAAAGTAATGTACAACAACCTCGGAAAAGAGCAGCGCTTCGAGATAGGTAATAGTGCACTTCAAGTTGTAAAAGACTGTCTACTTAGGGCAGCTAATAACCGCAGAGCCAAACCACGAGATTGAACGAACTAGAAGAATAAGAATGGGGTGGAGCACATTTGGCAAGCACTCTCAAATTATGACAGGTAGATTGCCACTATCCCTCAAGAGGAAGGAATATAACAGCTGTATCTTGCCGGTACTTAGCTACGGAGCAGAAACCTAGAGACTTACAAAGAAGGTTCACCTTAAGATGAGGATGACGCAGCGAGCAATGGAAAGAAAAATGGTAGGTGTAACCTTTGTGGAGATAGGTTTGCACAAGGCTTACCTACTAAGCGCAACTGTGTAGGGATGCGACGTCCTCCACTGCTGCTACGTGAGAAGACGCTGCGGCCGGGTTCGTCGATTTCTCCGGCACGGCGCAGAAACCACGCACGAGGCAGGATAACAAAAACAATGGGTTTATTAACCCAAGATGCAGCACAGTGCGACACTCACGGGCTTGCAGGCGTACAGGGAACTCCGCAAGACTGAGAAAGTACCCTTGCCTAGGGCGCGATGACTCTCGCACAAGGGCCGAAGTCGAATGCACGAACGAGAAGCCACCTGCTAAGTAGCGCGTCAACCTCTCGTGGAGGGCTGAGAGCATCTAACGCGACGAGCAAATTGTCGGGCGCAACATAGCTCGTAGGAGAGAAGGATGTCACGCGCGGCCCAAAGGGAAATGGCGCTGCGTTTTGATGTAGGCCCGCGCAGCGCAGCGTGCCCGGACATGCCAATGCGGGACGGAGCAGAGGCATGACTCGCCCAGACCAAGAGGCACCCTGGCAGCCATCTTGGCGAATGCCGGTGATTATACGCATCCGAGCTATGCGGTCGGCGCGCGCGCGGCAGCTGGGGAACGAGGCGCCTGGTAGGGGGGCGCTTCCGATTCCCACACCTTAAGAGACAAGAAGAGACTGGATTCCCAGAAAAGGCAAGCGAGTTAGGGGGAGACAGAAGGTTAGGTGGGCAGATGAGATTAAGAAGTTTGCGGGTATAAATTGACAGCAGCAAGCACAGGACCGGGTTAACTGGCGGAACATGGGAGAGGCCTTTGTCCTGCAGTGGACATAGTCAGGCTGATGATGACTTGACTTTTATGCAAAATACATTTCTTTAAAGAGAATGTGAAAGAAAATGCCTTTTGCACTACAGTCAGGTGTACCTAAGCAATGTAAGCTCAAGAAGAAGTACTTCCGGAATAATGTTTTACACCGAAGCCTGTGGGAATTAAGGCTAGCCCGCTGCTTTTGCGCGGGCTTTGCCGCCTTTTCTGCCGCTCTCATGTCCCGACATGTCTGCCCTCCTTTGCTGTCTGCCATGCTGGGAGAGCGGAGTGACGTTTAACTCCCTCACCTGGTAGCGGATGTAGACTGTGGCGCCGCGCGCGGAGTCTCCCGAGAGGTTTTCGCGCGCTGTGTCAGGAGCGGACTGATACTCTTCGGGACTGCAAACGGTGAGCCACGCAATCTTGTCCGTCCGTCGACTCCCGTCGCTCGGGGCGCGTCGGACTTCGCTGACGGCGCCTCGCGCCCAAGGCGAACGCTCACCTTTTGTTGCCCCACTGCGTACGCACGTCCGCAGGGTGGTAAGTGTCCTAGTGCGTGGCCTAGCTACGCCGACCCGTCTCCCTCCGAAGCCAACGAGAGCGCCTTTGCCCTCGCTCGAGCAACCGGGCCTTGGTTCCGGTGTCTCCGTGGATCACCTTTACCGCGGAGACGTGCTCGTGGCACCCTGTGTAGTACTTTTGTGCCCGTGGCGTGGATAAGCCTATTTGCTTTCCCGTCGCGCCTTTGCAACCGGCTTTACTGCGTTTGGTGTTGCCACAATAAAGTGTTGCGGCTTTGAGCAGTATCGTGTTCTCGCCACGGCGACATTTAACGCGTGCCCTGCGGCTCGCTAAGACCGGACCCACGCTGGTGGCCGTACTCCTTCGGGATACGTGTACACCACAAGCCTTGTTCACTAAACAGCCATGCCATTACATCGTACTATGACATTAATAGGCCATTACATCCCATATGAGATTTCGTCCAATGCTCGATTTCAATGTAATAGCTGCCAAGGTTTTATGTGCAAAACCACTAAATGATTATGAGACATGTTATAGTGGTGGACTCCAGAAATTTCAAAGACCAGGAGTTTGAAATGCACCTAAATCTATGTATTTGTGGCTCTGCACCTAAAAAAAAAGAACTATCCACATTGTGTTTCAGTACACGAAACAGGACAGCAGCCGCAGTTAAGTACGGCACGCCAGGATCCTCCCAACGAGCATTATTCGGAGGACGCTTCGGAGCTGCTGTGCCAAATGTCACATGATCACAGAGGATGGCGACGAAATTTATGCTGGGTAGAGCCTACGTTCTGCGACATCGTCACAAGTGCCTCAGGGTGTAGACCGCACCTGCCTCTATTTACAAACATGACCTAAATCTTATACATAAATTTTGTATCCACTGTGATGTTCAAACAAATTGTGAAACAAACAGAGAAACTCTCGCTTACAGACCCACCTTGTCAGCGTAGAGGACGCCATGACAGCCAGAAAGTGTGCATTTACGGACATCTTCCATGCGCCAGTAAGGATGCATCAGGGTCGTGAACTCAAACGTGCTTGTGCCTGCGTTACAACATTGGTTTCATTTTGCAAAACTCAAGTAGTTTTTTTCCCCTAATCACTGGTCATATGCAAAGAAAAAGTATTGCAAGTGATCCTCTTCAGATAATTACACAGCACCAGAAGATGGCATCACGTGCTAAGTGACAACAACAGGGAGGAAAAGAGCCCTCCACACTTGCCGTCATGGTTATGTTGACAAACACTCTGAAGTTTATATGCACATACCACATAAAACAGACTGCCGCTTTAGCCCAGTTGGTAGTGCATCGGATGCATTGTTCGAAGGTACCGTCCTTGCTATTATCATGTCCTTTCATCACATTACAATAATTACTAATAGCATCTCTCATACTTTCCGATCATTGTTTTCTCATTAAGATCGTGTCTAAAGTGGCATTCAACATTCCTGTTACATCGATGCTTTCGCAGCATTGAACTGCACCAGAACTCAAATTCATTGTTATACAGCAGAGGTAATCACAGGTGTCGGCAGGATTTTGTCTCAAAAGGTGCCAATCCATGCAAATCTATGTTGCGTCGTGGTGGGGACGCTGCTGTGGCTTAAGCTGAGAAGAACAGCACGTGTGACTAGTTCTGCTATTGCACCTTCTTGCCGACATTGATCACACCAAGTAATAATGGTTGCACGAGTCAACTGATAAGATGGCAGCATTTGTACATCTGCTCAACTTTTATTGCAAATGATAAGCACTTCTATAAAAATTGCTGCTGGCGAGTTTGTTCATATGACGGCTGTGCCAAGAGTAATGTTCGCAATGAGGTACTGCTTCAAGGGAAGGTGCTAGGTTAAATCGTGGACAGTGGTGTCACCTCTTTTGAACACGCCTGTCTGCAATTTGCTACATCGCTCACTTGGAAGCCATCAGAGATAGAAGTAGTGTTTGGGGCAAGCGAAGGATGGTCAGTCAGTAGACGGTGCTTGACAAAAAGGGAAGATAATGAAAAGAAGCTGCGCAGATGCAAACTAAGCCATTCACTTATGCACGCACCTTTCTTGCCAAACCCCGTAAGCTTTTGCTCACCTTGTGCTGGTGAGTCACCTACACGACGGAAGCATTCTCAGAGCGAGACAGACTGAGAAATAAGGGCTCCCCATCGCAACACCGCTCTCGACAAGATAATGCGGCAGCGTGCTGTCACAAAATGTGTGGATAGACGGTAGCATCGTGTGTACTAACTCCAGATAGCTGACCGGATGTCTAGCCAGGCTTGTTGTCGCACAAAAGTATTTTTTAGGCTGTACGTTGATGGTCGGTGTAGTGCCGAGTTCAGGTTTTATGAACTGCATATCTTTCTCTCTCCTCTGGCGTTGCCTGATCTTTTTTTTTTTTTTTTTTTCCATAACCTCTGACTTTTAGTGTGTGTGTGCCAGGAAGGCAGGATGTTTCATTGTCCTCCAGGAAGTTGCCGCAACATCCTGCCGACTGCGCCAATCAAGTTTGGGATTATGAATGTAATCCTGATGGCTGAGATGGCCACGACGACATGTTGAAGGTCTGGACAAGCTCGGTTGCTCACTTCCTGGCAAACTCCAGTTTATTTACACACTGACACTTATTTACAAACAAAGACCGAGGTGGCCACTAAAGCTACCAGACAGTAAGCAATAGGCTGTATTAATGTTGGCATTACTAGCCGAGTTCTTTTTATACTACACACATTGACACCTACTTCTCGATGTAACACAAACCTTCGATAAGAGTCGGCGCCAAGCACCACCTCTGTTCTCACTTCCCGATCTCGTTCTCGAGCACCATGCTCCTCTCCTCTCCATTTCTCCTCATTAATACCTCGCATCTCATCTGAGACCTTGTCGTGGGATGAACCCCTTCTGGATGCTCCACCAATACAGCAAACAACTCTCCTTTCCTCATAGAAATGTCTCCACCTTCGAGTTCCCACACAAGCTTTCCTCATGCTCCAAGAAATCGGCTAAAGAACTCCATCATTTTGTCAACATAAAGCAACATAGTGCCCCGTGTCGTATATCGGCGAGACGAAAAACCTACCGAAACGACTGAAGCAACACGCCAATGATGTGTGGAAGTTCTACAAAGAGCGCAGCGCAGTCGCCAAACATGCCGAGACATTGGACCACCAGATAAATTTCGTAGCGACGGCCATCCTCGAAAGCGAGCCAAACTGGAGGAGAAGGTTGTTACTAGAGTCGTGGCACATACAGAGAACAGCCCATAACATCAATCGCTCTCTCGGAACCTTTCCCCCAGTGTACACACACGGACTGCGCTCCACGGCAAAACAAGAGAGAGAGAGAGGGAGGGGGCATTAGCCACCCATCGAGTGCTTTGAAGACGCTGCTGTTACGTAGCCTACGCAATCACCCCTGAGGAAGGAACCAAGTCAGTTTCGAAACGTCGGGTTTCTTCAAAACTTTTGGTTGGAGTCTATATCATCTCCCAGTTTCATACCCAACCAGACAGACTTCTGTCAAATGTTTACATTCAACTTCATGGCTTTGCACCACCTTATTGTAGTGAAACCCCCTTCACAATTAGTTACATGTGGATTAAAAGGACCCTAAAGCAGTTTTTTAAAGCTTTGTCAGTGTTTTGGCTAGAGCATCACCAAACCATTCGCACCACTAAATTAGTGACACGCCGTGTACCAAGGCCTCTACAGACCATTATATCATACCCTCCTTCTCACGTCTGCCTAGCCGCTCAACCCATGAGGCAAGCTGGCATCGCTGGCAATTGCAGAGCTATCATAAGCGCGCTCGAATATTTGAGCTTTTACCAGTCTAGACCATCGAGATGGCACGCTGACAGGTGGCCCAGAGTCTCGGAGGCCATCACATAGTGCGTCTGGCAACAGAGACGAAGGTTGCAGAGTGGTTCATATCTGCACCGACAGGTGGCGTAACCCTACCAGCAGATATTTACGTGCATTTTACAGCCCAGGACAGCCATCAGATCAGGAGCCACGGTGACGTGGCTGCTGACATGCTCTGGCCTTGTCAAGTGGCCAGAGCATGTCGCTCAGTGAATGGGTGGTTCAAAACACATTTGGCCAAGTCGTGATAATCTGGAGCAATTTGCACCTTTAAAGCGTTTTAATAAAGTACACAGTTTACACAAAGTTCAAATCAGTCTCTAAACAACCCTTGGGACTTAGTCTACCAGTCCAATGTGTTTGTATAAAATTGCCAAAATCGTTTCAGGGTCACTTTAATAAACATCTATTTGTTCATTTTTTTATTGAAACTTTTTCATTATTTAAATTCGAATCGAAGCAAACTCAAATATTGTAATCTTGTTAATTTCAAATACCCTGAAATTTAGTGTAATTTAAATTCATTTCGAAGTTGAATTTGAAGATTCATTTTGAACCCGAATATTGTAATATGCGTTCCAATATTCTATGTGCTCGAATATTCGCACAGGCCTAGGCTATACAACCCTTTCTTAGGCAATCACTGCCAACATCAACGACACAAAGTGTCAAGTCAATGCTGTGTGTTTCGAGAGGCACCATTTATAATGCACATAGCTACTAGGCACATACCTGTGTTCTCCACAGTCAGCTCAAGGCGAAGCTTGGCCTTCTGCAGTTCGATGCGATACACAAGCCGGAACCTGCACCAATGAACCCAATGAAAGTTATGCCCAAACACATTGAGAACACCTTCATGTACCTTTTTCTCTGGCTTTAGACAAGTACAGTAAAAGCTTCTGAATTCAAATCTCACAGGACCTTGACAAACGTTTAAACAATAAGCATATGTCTATTACATAAACACACACTCATTTTCTTGATGAATACATAAATGTTGCTTTTTTTATTTCTCTGTAACAGCAGCATGAAAGCTGAATTTTCCATCACTCTGCTGTCTTCTTTCACAGTGCTACTGTCGAGCACGCAGCCTTATTCAACCCAGAATGTGCTCCGACCATATTACGCACCGCCAAAACCCCCACCACCATGTACACATGATACTTTTTTTCCCTGTAAACGAATGACATTTGCTAAATCTGTTGTAGCGCTGGTTCCTCAGAACGTGATTGTAGGTTGCGACCACGCCTTTTTGATCGCGCATGGCTAATGAAGTGTCGCATGCAATGGTAACAAAAGTAGACATGAACCGTTCTGGACAAGGAGGTTAAAAAAAATGCTGGAGCAGAAGCTCCTACAAAGCCTAGCAAAGGAAAGTGAAGTCTGCTCTTACCCACCAAAGATCTCAGAAACATGCTTTGTTCTGGTGGTGATCGTTTAGAGATCAAGTGGCTCTGATCTGTTTGTGTAAGTGCTACATTATTAGCCTAAGAAAAATGCTTCGTTTCCTTGGCTGAATGCCGCCAGTTTATCATGCCACTACTGAGATAGCTCTTTATGTAAAGTATTCATGCAGCCTGTTGCGTGAAATTCGAGCTAGCATATTAATTCACCCACGACATAGGCTGACTAATGCGACCTGCACTCTTGCATTTTGAGGCGTTCGTTAAACTTGAGTTGCATTTGAACAAATCCATGTCTGTTTATGACCGAATCACTGTACCTTAAATGTGCACTCAAAGAAAAAATTTATAGAAAGCTTGTAACCACAAGCATAGAGTTAGTAACAGGAACTGTTACTGACTTTCTTGGGCACTTGCTATCTTTTGTGGCCATTTTACTACATCGGTTCGTATGTTGCAATGGTTCTTTTGCGCACTGTTACTAATGTTTCTCCATGCAAGAACTTGAACTGGTATAGCGGATTACGGGGGAAGAAGAAACGGCCGAGCAGACCGACACAAGAGGACAGAGCACTCTGTCCTCTTGTGTCGGTCTGCTCGGCCGTTTCTTCTTCCCCCGTAATGCGCTATACCAGTTCAAGTACGACGAACCAACTCGCCCAATCTTCAATACTCGTGGAGTTCCTCATGCACCTGTTTAACGAGGCGGTATGATGCTAAGTAGACATAACATTCCAGTGGGTCACAAAAATCCGGTTGTCACAAAACGAGCGTTCAAAAAGGGCGCGCCGCCAAATTCTCGCGACAATTCGCCGGAAGATGCCGCAAGGTCAACGATAAAAAAAAAAATAACCAAAGACTCTCCGGGCGCGCGTCCCTCTCCCCTCGGAAGTGTAGGTTCGCCAACGAACCTCCTCGCATCGGCGGCCGAGCAAGCCCTAGAGAGTTCTCGATGGAAAGGGGCGCGGTGATGCAGGGTTGCGTCATCTTTCGCGGACGGCCCTTGTACCGTCTCGCCCTTTCCCCAGCCTTCGCTGCGTATCGCGCCGACGAAATGATGAGAATTTTCTGGAATCGCGCGTGGAAGGTATTTAACCGAGCAGCGGAAATGGGAGATCAGGAGAAGAAGTTAGCGCCAGAGTGCGTAGGGTATCCCGCCGCGTCTGTTGGTGAAGGTTTTGTCCTTAGTGACAAAGCAGGAGAAGAAGGTATGCGCCAGAGTGCGTAGGTTGTTTCGCCTTGAGGGCGAAGCCTTTTGTCTTTCGTGACAAAGAAGGAGAAGAAGAGGATTTCCACCTGAGGGGTGAAGACTCGAGCTACAGGCAAGAGTGTGTGTCTACCGCTAGCGAGCGAAGACGCGTGGCAACAGCTGCGTGTGGGAAGCCGACGCGTTTCCGGCGAAGAAGTTTGAAGCTTGGAGAGCGGCCAAGTGAAGACGCGACGTTTCCTGGAAGAGAAACTTCGGGGGCAGCGGAACGACAACAACGCTGGACTTTGAGTGAGTGATTCTCGGAAGAGTATCATCCAGACTTTTGTTCCAAGAACTTTGGACTGAATAAGTTTTCTAACTCTTTAGTCTTTAAGTGTCTTGGTTGTTCGATGCATGCGACTGCATTGTAGTGCGTGTTGTTGTCTGTGTCCGTTGTTTTGAGAGTGGCTGATTGTACTGTGTAGTACATTGTTTGATTGTAGCCATATTGCATTCAACTATTGTCGAGAGTGCATACTTGTGTATCGTTTTTATCTGCCATAATTGAGAATATAATTTTGTTTTGTTTATCAACTCTCGGCTCTGACTTGTTCTTTGGGCCACAGCCGGTGTCCGCTGGCGCGCCAAATAGGACCACTTCTAAATTGTCCACGCTTTCGTGGTGCTGTTCGGGGGGCCGATACTTCACCCTTGGAATTAGCCCGGCGATCGCCTCCCGAATTAACGGGACCAGTGACACCGGTGGACACTCAAATTATAGCTGAACGTACATGTCCGGAGCTGGTTATTTAAGGGACGACCTAAGGCTGTTGCATTTCTGTTGTTCTTTACGAACGTTGTTTTTTGTCTGGAACATCCAAAGGATATCTACGAAAAATTTCCCGTGAACGCAATAATTTGGGCAGCAGATGGACATCAACGAGACATCCCAGGAAACAAAACCTTAAAGACTTTTTGAAACGGCTACAAACTGTTGTATACGTCTTGGTCCAAAAGAAGACCTAAAACATTTTCAAAAGGGAAGAATAGCGCCTCAAATGTGCTACCTTGCTGTTTAATTATTAGTATTTTTTAACAACTCCAACATAGCCTGATCTGCCAAACAAGTTCATATAGCATATTTGAAGACATTGTCTAGGCACTATAGAGAGCCAGCGTTCAACGTCCACCTCAATAATTCTGAGAAGTTTGCGTAGAGGAAGTGTCAAATTGCCGAAACGTCATGTCAAAAAAGCAGTGACTGTCGGTTTTACTAACGAATGACAATTACTAACATCTACTAATTAATTGACATGACACCACAAGCACGAGTGTACAGCTGCCCATTTTATTAACCTGTACGTGCGAACTCCGACTGCAGACTATTTCCCTATTCCCAGTCTCCCGTTGTCCGAATCCAAGAGCAGCCTAGGAGACGACAGCTGAAGACTTAATAGTGTGCATGCACGTATTGTGGTAACATAATTTTGCCACTCAGTTATTATGGTTCTCACAGACTGGGCGGTGAACGCTAGCACGATCAGTTTTTTAAATTAAGAGTGGCTGTACGTGCGTGTGGCATATTTTTTTCAAGCCAAGGCACAGCGTTATTCACTGCCCTAGCGAAAAAAGGGCGAAGCTCCGGTCACTCTAACGGGCCGCGCTTGCTGGGTTTTCCCATGGCGCGCTTAGAAAATGTGTTCCTTGGAGCACTTATCTCGCATTTTGCATGCTATGGACAGCGCTCCTTAGTCATTCTGGGAAGTAGGCATGCACTACTGCTGCATTGTGAGCTCCTAGAAAAGTTTAAACATGACGAAGACATGAAAACTGCCCGTCAAGTTCTACAATTTCCAAGGCAAGCAGTGCGTGAAGCAAAGACGTCAAGAGTTCGCCGATGCTTCGTGGTCTCGTTACTTTGGAAATTTTTTGTCATGCACAGTACTACAAACTATTAATTAATTAAAAGAAACGTGATGGCCAGACTCATAATAAAAGAGTGTTTGTAAAATGAAAAAAAAAAACAGCAAATAGACAACTGCAGTACATTTTGCGATTAGGCTCTGGCTTTCAGAGACAACCTTTGGTAGTGCGAAAGTGGTGGAGCTTACAAGCTTAATACACTTAAAATACCGTGCTGTGAGCCCTGCAAGTGTATTATTCAGCTGATGGTTGTACACTTCTTGCGCCGCTCAGTGTAAACAGATTTGTGCTGTGGGTTCGCGCTGAGCGCTTATACGTATAGGCCTTGCAAGCAACACCTACCAAGAAGTTAGCATGATAAGGTGTTGTGATCCTAGGATCGAAGTCATGAGTTCGATTCCCCCATACGCCAGCTGTATTTACATGGGAGCGAAATGCAGTGACAGTGCGTTAAGATTTTGGTGCATTAATGACAAACAGAGCGTGTTGGTGTTATCAAGGCCAAATCTCGGCGTAACTATAAACATGCTCGATCCTAGTGGGTACTGTGTCATATGACGTTGACCAAGTGAGCTGTCAAAATAACCTAATCAATATCGTGAATCGAATCAGTGAATACACTGTATGACAAGGCGTGGATATTATCCGAAATGAAACATGTGCTGCAAGAAACATGCATGGTCGATTAGTGGGCATAAAATACTTTTTTGTGCGCATCATTATACTTTCAAACGAGCTGCAAAATATCAAAGGTGTCATTCAACTCACGATATGACTTTGTTAACATCCCATGAAAACCTAGGCAAAAGTAAAACTCTTATGAAACTGAACACTGCGTATTGCATTATGCCAGAGACTCAACAAAGCAGACGTAAGTTTAGTCTCTTCACAATGACTTCCTAATAAATTTAAAACCGCGTGACAAACTTGGCATCCAAGCAAGCAAAATGCGAACGCTATATACAAATGCATGCAAAAGCATGGTAGTAGTTTGTGACAGCTCTGAGAAGACATGAATTCCGAAGCAAGTGGGCGTTTTACCGGTAACATACATATGAATTTGCGCAGTCACCTCACTTTTATTGCCATAGAAAGGCGCATGTTCATCATTGACATGCACATAGCACTCACTCAAAAAACAGTGTTTCACTTGCTTGGTCTTGCAGAGGTTGTCAATGAACCGCTCTCACTTCCGATAAGATTCACACCGTGAAAACGTTTATATAATATTTTTAAACCTCCGGAGCAAGTCACAGGTGACGCTACACGTGGAGGGGACCAGATAACG